TTCAACTACACAGTCCCTCTGGGTAGCTGGCTGTGACCAAAAAGTGACCACAACCTTGCCCCTTGTCAGCTCTATTATATACCTGGGAATTCTTATCATTCACATAAACTTATAGGACCATTGTCCCCTACATATGTTCTTGGATACCCTCCCCATTTCATAGACATACCTAATCATTTAGCCTGTCTACCCATCTATCAACCCATATACCCATGTTTGCCTTCACTGACAACGCAGTACTGTATGTGCAAAAGGGTTCATATTTGTTGTCTGTACCTCTCATGTACCTCTCTATGTCTTTCTCATCCTCGATGGTGCCATATTGGTCACTCACATTTGGTACAATGCCCTTCTCTTCACCCAAATCAATACTTATCTCTATCTAACAGCAAGGCAGACTTTTTTCCTAGTTAAACAAAACTATTGCTCAGTTTTAATTAGACTGCAGGGGATATTTTTGGTTTAAGGTTTAAAGATTACCCCAAGGCAGCAGCTTCAGGGTTTATCCAGCCTCCATGGCTCCAGAAAGTCTAGAGTCTATGAGAATTTGAAATTCTGTTCTTTACTTTTCCTCTTTTAATCAGGATTCTTCCATGGAATCTTTTACCAAAATGCTCAGTAATGGTAACTGGGCACCATACAATTCTGGTGTCATGCCAAAGGTGGCAGTTGTTCATGGAAGCAATTAGCCACACATTTCATATCTTCCTCCTATTCCTGATTCTCCTTCTCCCTCTGTTGCTTCAGGTGAACACAGAACAAATGTTGTAGCTTGGAAGGGCTCCTGTAAGTTTGAGGTAGAAAAGAAATGCTAAACACATTATTAGGCCAATTAACTAGGATATCCCATGAAACCATAACCCTAAACCTCCAGACCAAGGCACCAAATCCCATGAGGTGTCTGACTGTACACCACGCAGAGCAGCTACTTGTTTTTGTCGTTGTTGTAAATATATCACACTTTTTCCAATTCTACTGTTCACAGTATACAACATACAGACAGCAATTTTAATAACTGCCTGTGCAACTCTACCCTTAATCAATCACATTAATTAAGCAGCTTTATTCTTAATAGCCTCAAATTGGAAAGAACCCAAATATTCATCAATAGGTAAATGGGGGAAAAAAATTGTCAAATATCCATACAATGGAATACTATATGTATTTTTTTTTTAATTGTGCTTTGGGTGCAAATTTATAAAGTGCATTTATTTTACATTCAACAGTTCACACACATTTGATTTCAAGGCCCCAATTACTATGCCCAACCATAAAAACTCTCCTCCTCTCCCATCCCTGTGACTACTCCCTCCCTGTGCCCTTCTTAACTATGCATTCCTGTCTATCCAGCTTTCCCTCTGTGTGAATGCCTCCCCTCTGGTGTCTCATGCCCCTAGAGTAGGTGGATGCATTGTTCTGGGGTAGGTGTTCTCCATGTAGGTCTTTCTACTGTTGGGCTGAGAGCCAATCCATGGAAGTGAGTCTATTTCTAGGCCTGAAGGATAACATTTTTTAAATGACCTATTGACACATGCAACAACATGGATGAATTCTAAATAATTTTGCTGTATGAAAGAAGCCAGATATACTATATTATTCTATTTACATAAAACTCTAGAATATACAAACTTATCTATAATGATAGCAAACTGACTGTTACCTGTGGGAGGAGGACTAGGAAGGAAGGAAGGAAAGTTGGATTACAAAGGGGTATGAGGAAATTTTTATGGGTTATGGATATGTTTGTTATCTTGATTGCGATGACTGTGTGATGGTTGTAAGCATATGTAAAATTTATCATATGTACATTTTAAAAATATACCAATGAATTAGTATACTGATTACACTTCAATAGGAAAAAATTGTGGACAAGGAAAAAAAAAGGTGGTAGGGCAGAAAAGAGATCTGAAATCTAGACATAATGAGATCTGCAAGTAATATCCTTAATGATGTACAAACTGAACCTAAAGACAGGGAACTTATGTGTTATACTCACATCGCATTCCCTGCACCTACCTCAATGCCCTGTACCCCGTACACACTATCTATTGATGCTGAAGGAATAATCCCTTACCCTTCCCCCAAAAGACCTTATTCTTGCAAAATTCTAGCAATACCAGGTAAAAATGTTGTTGTTGTTATGTTTTGGACCCAACTCATAGCGACCCCTCCTTGGGTTTCCAAGGCAGTATCACTATGGAAGTAGATAGCCCAACCTTCCTTCCGAGGAGTGGCTGGTGGGAATGAACCGCCAGCCTTCTGGGTAGCAGTCAAGCGCCTTAGGCAGTATGCTACCAGAGCTCCCACAGGTAAAAATATATATATATATACATTTCACTGGACATTTAAAAGCCTTGTCCTTTTGCTCCCTTTTTTCATTCTAGGGTCCTTTTGAAGGAAAAGAGCATCTCTCCTAAGGAAACTCTTCAGAGGGAGGTGATGAAAGGAGATGAGGGAAAATATCTGAAACATTTCGTTTAAAATATATATACATTTATCCCTATCATGTGTCAGGCACTGTTCTATGCATTTAGGATACCAGAAAGAACAAAGTTAAGGGATGTACTTTTAAGAGAAATATGAATGCTTATGTGTTCCAGCCTGAAATTCATTTTTCCAAACTTCTCTCCTAATTCTGTTGTTGTTGTTGTTGTTACGTGCCGTCGAGTCGGCCCCTCCTAATTCTAGAAACCAGAAATTGCATCTCATTCCTAATAGTTACTGGGTAAGAAACAACTTCTAAGTTGTACCTCTCAGTGGTAGGACCAATCCCATAGGAAAAAGAGGATATTGCATATTCTTGAACTTTCTATTTATTTTAGAATGATATCTCAAGTTAAATTGATTTTTAAATGAATCAAAATATTTCTAAGCTTTATTTTTGTCAAATAAAAAGAGCACTCTGTGGGATTTTTCTTTCTTTCTCTTTTCCTTAAACAAAAAAAAAAAACACTGCTGTGGAGTCAGATCTGACTCATAGCGACCCCTCCTTGGGTTTCTAAGGCTTAAGTCACCCTTAATTCAGATAAATTATACAAGAAATAATATCTATTCTTCTATACGATCATGAAAAGGCTATAGTCTCGCAAAAGTTCCACATGTTGCAGATAAAAAAATTTGG